CTTCGACTCCAATTTTTTTCTATAGGTCGGGCTTATAATAAGGGGTGAAATTCTTATATGGTGGAAGGGCGGGGGAGGGGGCTCAATATGTGTGAATTCAAGCTCTAATCGGGCAAATGTTCAGAATATCTAGTGCAAGACTCGAAGAGTACAACCTAAGAAAACGGCCCAGTTAACAATATTCAGTTCAAAGATTTTTTTAGCACCCATGAACAACGATCGAAAGGAAAGTGGCGTGCGAGAGAAGGGTTTAATGTCGCGCGTATAATGCAGGGAGTTTTTTAAAAATTTTTGGGCCTCATTTTTGAAAATTCACCCGTATAAGAGGCGACTATGCACAGTAACAACAAGAGACAGAAAACAGAAAAGAAAAGAAATGGTATGGGTTCAACGCCCCTATCAACACCATTATGTTATTTAAGAGGTGGGAAAAGAAAAGAAATAACGAAGATAATGACAAGACTGAAAAATAAATAATGTAAAAGGAAACAGTCTAAAAAGAAAGAAAGAAAAGAAACAAAATAAATGGGACTAACGGTAGAAGGAAAAAAAGGAAGCAGATGAAACAACAATGAAAGAAATAAAAACAAAGAAAAGAAAAAATAAAGAATAAAAGAACGGGTAGAAAAAAGAGACACCTTGTCCAGAACACACACTTCACTGGCTTACCCCTTTGCTCTCGCAGTTACTACAAACACCCATCCACAAACGCTCCAACTTCAGTCTTCGTCGTCGTAAAACCGTCAAAGAAATACTTCTTTTTTTTTCGTTGTAAAATGCTGTAATTTGTATTACCAATTTCCATGCCCGAGTTGGAGTACGCTCGCTTCTTGAAAGTAATCATTATGCAATTTCTTTCTGCCATTCAAAACGACTTTCGGGCTTTCTTGTCGCCCGACCTATGACGGATATATCTTTGGTTTTCTTCTTTATGGTATTTGGTTTTTTCTCCTTTTGTGTCCCTCTATCCCTCTGTCCCTTGCATTGTCTAGAATGTGCTCAAATGTCTGTCACGTTCTTCTTTTCCGCAAGAATAACTCTTTTTATACTATGTTCATCAGATAAGGTAACATCGGCTAAACTGACAGTCATATAGTGCTGATGAGCTAGTACAAGGTAGTGAAAAACACATGAGACAAACGCAGTGGGCCATTTAGATAGCACTACTTAGGTCAAGGACGTAGCACCAAATAATTGAGAGGAATTATTTCAAGAGAAAGGTGACTAATTCAGACCTCACTCGAGTTTGGACTTTAACTAGGCGAGTAAATCACACTCTCTTCTTACCTCCACCCCCC